GCCAACAGCACTGCCTCCTCTTGTTCTGACAGCCTGGGGGTCCAACCCATGGCTTCCTTTCTCCCATGTCCTGTTGCCAAGGAAACCAGGTGAAGATGACTGTCGGGAGCATCTTAAAAGGCAAAGGACCCACGGCAGAAGCCAGGAACTCCGTCTAGATCCTCTTGCCACCTGCAAAGATGGCGGGGTCTCATCAACTGACCCATCCCGACGGCCTCTCAGGATGTGCACCGGCAGGGAGCTGGGATCAAGTGCCAAAGCCAAGTGTGGAGCCCAGGACTCTGATGTGGGCTGCTGTCACCACCAGATGACATCACATGATCAAGATGAAGCCACAACCTGCTGGGCCTTTGGGGTCTTGCCTCTGCCGCTCTCCCTTCCCTTCCTGGCCCCACAGCAAGGTCCTGACTTTCTCGCTTGCTGCCCAGGACCTTGCTGCTCTCCGCAGTGCCTGCTCGTCGCTGTCTGCCTCTGCCTACACTCTATGGGGCACAATGCCATGCTTGGGAAATCCTTTGATCCTGCCTGCTCGTCAAACTCTCGCTTTACCTACAAAACCCTCCTCCAGGAATGTCTTCTTTTCTCCCTGGCAGCACAGCATCGTTATCCAATTCCACCTGTGCCAAGTTTGCCTTGACATCCAAAGGCCCCATCCCTGTGGAAGGCATAGAGGCTGCGATTACATCTTGTACTGTTTGCTGTGTCCCCAGAGTGGACTCTGGCTGGGGGCATAGCTTAGGCAGAAATGCATAGACAGTAAAGGAGAACCCCCGCTCCCCCCGCCAAAAACAAAAGTTATGGGGTATCCGATGTAGAGAGAGAGAGAGAGCAGGGAGGGGATGTGGTTGCTTAGCAACCAGCAGCCCCTGGCTATATCAAGGTTGTTGCCTTCCCGCCTCTGGTTACCTGCTCAGTCCTGTGTCCTAGCCACAGCTGGGAGGTGCCCCCAGGATGGAATCAAACAGGTCTGCAGATGTGGGATCAGCCAGACCGGTTCCAGAGGCAGAAGAACCCTCCAGATGCAGCTGCCCAATCTTGGGTCCTGTGTGCATTGACTGTGAGGACGCCAGGGCACAGAGAAGGAAGTATCTTGCCCCGGGGTCACACAGCTTGCAAGGAAGAGAAGGCAGAATTGGAATCTGGGCCCCGTCAGATTGGCTACCCCCACCATGCCCCGTAGTGTGGGGAGCCGCAAGTCCCCTCCCCCCCCCCGCCCCGCAGACTTCTGGGGCCGGGGAGGAGGTCCATTTGCTTGCAAGAAGGGCCTGGGTGCTGGGATCACCTCTGAGTTCCCAAGCTCCAGAGGGAGGGGTGGGGAGGGGAGCCGGCTGAGGATGTGGGAGCGTGTGTGTGTATGAACGTGTGTGTGGACATGTGTGAATATGTGCATAAAGTGTGAAGGTGCGTATGACCATGTATGCATATGTTTGCCTATATGCACGCGATGGGCACACACATGTAAACATATGTAGCATGTGAATGTCTGGTACATAGGTGTGCATGTGTGTGGATACGTGTGCATGAATACATATGTGTGTGTATATGAATAGGTGTGTTGTATTCATTGCTGATGTTTGTGTGAGAAAGAACAATGCTAATCATTTAAAAAAAAGATTTGCTTATTTATTTACATTTGAAAGGTAGAGTTACACGCACCCAGGAAGAGAGAGATTTTTCAATCTGGTGTTTCACAGCCTGGAACTCCATCCGGGTCTCCCACATGGGTGCAGGGGCTCAAAGACTTGGGTCATCCTCCGTGCTTTCCCAGCAGCATCAGCAGAGCAGCTGATGAATGGAGCAGCCTGGATTCTAACCGGTGCTCATACAGGATGCCAGCTTCCCCTGTGGCACGCCCTGCAGGGATGACCACGATGAGTCCTCAGAGCGGGCATCTTCAGCCAGTGCATGCCTTGGTGCTCAGTATTTTGAAATGGCATCCCTGTGGCTCAGGCTCCGTGTCCTCACCTGTGCCCAGGGTGCAGAGCCCCAACCCCACGTGGGTACCAGGAACATCAAATGGGACCATGGCAGCAAAACCTCGAACAGTCTGGTTCACAGAAGCCCGCGAAGTCTGGCAGTGCAGCCTGTCCACGGCGGAGGGGGTGTGCTTGTGTGTGTGTGTGCGCACACAACCATGCCCTTCTCTGCATGGGTCTCTGGCCAGGCTCTGTCCTGAGGGAGGGTTTTGGGTGCTGGTCGCTTTGTGCTGTTGCTGAGAGGAAAGGCCTTCCCCGCTCCAGACGGGGTGAGCCGGAGCAGCTAGGCTGTCCAGTTCCATCCAACAGTTCCTTGCCCCAATGGGGGCCGGCTGAACCTCTCCTGGGCGTGCGGGAAACATGCCAGGCGGTTCTCTGTTTGTCACCAGCTGGGAGGGTCCCTCTTCACCCCCAGGGCCTCATTCAGCGTTGCCTCTTCTCCCTCCGTCTTCATCTCTTGCCATGAAGAGGTCAGCAAGCACACACAGCGAGCAGGGCCCAAGGAAGGGGAGGAGGGAGAACAG